ACTCAATGTCAGCAACAAGCATTATTTTATTGTAATAAATGTTTAGTCTGTTTGTAAGATTAAATTAAATGGTCCTCTATTTTAAATAAGACCTCGCTCTCAAATCCCTTCCACCTCTTGAAATCGCACGAGGTCCAATCCTGAGTTAAAGGGATTGAATTCCCTGACTCGAAAGAAGACCGACGATCGCACCGCTCACGGAAGGTGTCTTACCGTCCCTACGGACGTTGACCCTTTTTGAGCCATTGAAAGTGCGCTCGGCTCGTGCCACGCGCTTCAGAGCGTGTACCTGCGAGCAACAGAGTAAGTATCTGCTTGCGTCCTTTCTTACCCCTACCCCTCTGGTTAGCCTTTTCTTTGCTTCCTAGTTTTTCTCATTCAAATCCTGGGGTTGGACGTAACACTGCTTTAAAAAAAGCATAAACTTTATTTCTATTATCTTTTTTAACTATATAGTTAAGAAATATAATAGGAATAGAGTTAATGCTTTCTTTAAAGCAGAAAATAATTAGTATATTAAAAAGTCTATATAAATACAAAGTCAAATAATAGCAATTAAGGGCGCCAGACTATTATGAAAAGTTGCTGTTATACTGCACTATTACTATAATTCCATGTACTTTTACGTCACTACGCATGATCATGTGCGTCTACATCATGTTGGTATAACAGACATTCTAACCACGCAACAGTCAATTTTAGTACTTAATAACGTTTTTCCTAAAATTGAGAGCAACAATTTTAACTTACAGATTTATGTTCTACGCACCAAAATATACAAAATTGTGAAATTTCAGCCAAATTGGTAAGAAAGCCCCTGTTTGAAATGCACAAGCTCGCGCAGGAGCCTGAGCTCAAGAATTACAGAATAGGGAAAGACACTTTTCTTGTTGTTACGTCGGTAAAGAGATTGTGTATTTCCAGGGCAGTTATGTTATAATCTATAAATATATTGTAATAAATGTTGTACAGAGAACACATAGCATCAATACAAGAGAAGATAATGTTGAATTATAAATGCATAATCCTTTCTCATTTGTCACTACAAGAAGTTAATCTCTCATCATAAATGATTGTAAGAACTAAGATTTCCGTTATTTGTATTTCGAGCAGAGAAACAGTTCAGTGATTTCATTACTTAAGTCGGTTTGAAGAAAGGATCAGACAAATTAAACATCGTGTTCAAATCACATTACATAAATATAGCAAGAATGAATAAGTTGAAGTACGTTATCGACTAGTGATTCGTCGCAAATAATCGTTAGATGTATATATATATCGTGTGGGATTCTGTGAATTCAATATAATGCACTTTCTTTCTATTCATTGATACTGTAACTTTTGCAATCAATCCAGGTATATAATTATTTCAATGGAGTAGTAGATTCTTTCGATAAATGAATAGCGAACGTGATTAAATGATAATGAACCTTTTGCATGTAATCCGTTGTTTCGTAAACGTTGATAGCGGGCAAATAACCATGGGTTGAATCGCACTATGTTGTTAAGATAATACAGATCATACGTAAATAGCCGAATCGCGTGTGCATCGATAATGCAAGATAATACTGACTATGCGTGAATATCCGAGTAACGAGTGCATCGATAATGCAAGATGATTTTATTCGAAGATTGCCACCATTCCAAATGACTTTAAGTTCAACCGAGTGCAGATAGATAATTAATTCCATAAGATTTATTTAGCTACGTATCCTTTATACGAGTATACAATCCGTTATCCCGTGTTTTATGCGAGGACGATATCTATCGCGCCGTGTCTTATGCGAGGACGATATCCTTCGATCCTTGCCAAATGCGAGGACGATATCCTTCGCTCCGTGCCAAATGCGAGGACGATATCCAACGCTCCTTGCCTTTTATGAGAACTTTGCGTTCATCATAATCCTTTGCCTTTTATGAGAACCTTGCGTTCATCATAATCCTATTGCCTTTTATGAGAACCTTGCGTTCATCATAATCCTATTGATAGATGCCGATTAATCCCGTACGTGATCTTTAAGTTACACGAATTCTATATTTTACCCGATTGCGTCCGCCGGTGATAATTGTAATGATGGTCAACGACCAAAACCGTAAGTTACCTGGTTGCATCCGCCGTTGATAATTGTAATGATGGTCAACGACCAAAACTGTAAGAACCTTTTCCGATAGATAGGATGGCCGCTTCGTTCCTTTATGACGATGCCACGTTGCAATGTCTATGTTCATCCATCCTTCCGTCGCGTTGAGCGAGGTTGTTTCAATCGCCTCTGAGCAGGGTTGCAATGCCTCCTCTTGTAGTACGGAGACGTCCCGGTGATCTGTCTCAGACTCAATAGTCTGGAGGACTTCAGTCGCGCAGCAATTATACGACGCCGATGTAAAGAATGTAACTGTCCGCCTCGCTAGCCGGAAGATGATTGCTTGATCGGCGGGCTTCACGCCCGTCCCGACACACTCACGCTTGCGCAGTATCGTCGGTTCGTGCCTTTATCCGGCGCTGGGCGCAACGTGATCATCGCAGCGCTCGCGAAACACTGAACGTTAAAGATAACTAGGGAACTGTAATACCGATGCTATCTGTGAGCATTCTACCGAATTGCCACTTACTTCCACAATGTTCGTATACTCAATCTCTTCACGATTCTTATTGCCCGTTTCTAACACGCTGACTCCGTGATATGTCCGCTCGTTTTCGGATATTGTGAACGACTGACTTATCTATTCGGTCGCGCATTGCGATCGAGGCTTTTTCGCCCCCCACTCCTTGTTTACGCTTCGCGCTCTGGAATTCCGTGCGTGCCATCCGTCGCACATGTGTCGCACATGTGTCGCGCTCCGAATTCTTGTACGCACTTTCTAACAGCCCCTCTTCTTCATAATTACCTTAAAAAATAATTATGTTAATGTTATATATAATATTCCCAAACGATAATTTAATTATAATTATATTGCATAATCTTAATTCTTGCCTTGTTAAAAACTTCATTATCAGAGAGATCGCCATACTCAGTAAAGTCTTAGTGTAACAAAATTCAAAAAGTTAGTATCTAAATAGAGAGAATCGTGTATGCGCTCAATCATGAGAAAATCCATTATCTACCAGTCTTCAAATATCTGCAGAAAAAATCCTCTGATGACTGACAACAAATATAAAAATTTGAAGTAAAGTTTGCATTAAAAATATAAACTGGTTTGTCCACCACTTCCAAAAACTTTAATTGCTATTATAATTTTTATTATGATATATTTAGATTAAATATTAATTAATCCTTTTAGTGTCTAATCTTTTTTGTGTGTGAGAAGAACATATTTAATTTAATTATTTTTTAAAATGTTAGGGATTGCTGAATACGAGTATAAAATTTACCAAAATTTATTTTGTTGTTATTGCTTTCGTGAATAATTAATATTTCTAGACACCATCAAGGTATAAAATCAACGTCTATCATAATAATGGACTCAATTCAACTAATATTTTAGCACAATTTTCCTACAATACAAATTGCGCTACAGATCACTTTTTTGTTCTCTTTAACTTTTACAAGACAGCATATATATGTACGTACGCGTCTTATTTGCTAACGTGTACGTCAAATAAGATCGTTTTAATTGACTAATATGAAATCATATCTAATAACATAAGCTTAAGTACATGCTTATGCCAAATAAGATACGTTTATGAAACATGTCAAGACGTTCTGAAATAAGTTTATCTTCGATAAGTCATGTTTTGAGTTTTTTCTCAAGTTTTGTCTCATTTATCGACTATAAATCTAGAGGACGCCTTAAGAGGATCCTATAGCGAAGGCCGAACTTCCTCGACGTCGATAATGTCGAACATTTTTAATTCCGTTCTAATTCGTTTTCTATCATTTTCTATATTACCGGCCTATATTTGCCCTTGTCTAACGAGAGGCATCTGTCCTTGTTTCGATTGCTGCGTCATCGAGCTCGCTACACGCCATACTGCTCTTCTTGTCATTCCGCATGTATAAAAGTTAAAACACTGACACTTTTTTTCTAGACTTCTATCGTAGTTGTAATTGCACGATATTGTTCTTCAATGTTTTCCCTAGAGGGCTAGATTTTCATAAACTGCAGTATTTTTGTATAACCAAATTGTCATTAGTGACAGCTCTATGTGCCCAAATTTTTAATTTTTTTTTCGTTTTGGAAGTTAAAACCGATCTAGCCCTCTAGATTTTTGTGCGTACTTTAATTCTAGACCAAATTTTTGCAATTCCGTAAAGCCAATTAAAAGTGGTTAGGTTTTAACTAAATGTCGGTAATTACTGCCACTATAGGATCCCCTTAAGACCAAACTTAAGGCGGTCTTCAAAATAAGTTTCGACTATAAATAGGGGCCACTGATTACGATTACGTTTACACGGCTCGATTTACGCCGAAGTTATAACATTGATGTTATAACTACTGATGTTAAATGCCACATAAACGCTCTTTTACGACGAAGTTATTACATCGGAAGCTTTCCAGCAAGCGCGGACACAAGCCGACATAAGTATCGTTCTATCTTTCTTTTTTGGCAATGAGTAACAAAGACAAAACGACATTTGTGTCGATTTGTGTCGTTTGCTGGAAAGCTCCCTTCAGCGTAAATTGGACTGTGTAAACGTAGTCATTGGCTGCGTTCAGGAGAAAAAGCAGCTTAGTGAGCATTCAATGACTTTTTATTATGATTGGTTTTTACACTTAAGGCCCGGGCACATAGGAAAACTTAAGCAGTAAGACGTAAGAAAAGAAGTAAGGAAATCAACGGTATGGATTCGCTACTGCTTACGTTTTGTCTTAAGTTTTTGATTGTCATTGGATGATTTGTTTACTGTTAACGTCTTATTGCTTAAGTTTTTCTATGTGTTCGGCCTTTAGATCCGGAGAAGAACCAAAGGCAAGAATCAATCGTATTAAGAATCACTGAGCGCTCACTCAACGGTTGCGTCTCTTAAACGCACTCATTGTTATTTTATTATTCTCTGCAGTGTGCCAATTGTTTATATTTTTCAGGTTATGATTTGCCATGGGAAGAAAAAGATAAAGTTTATCCCGGTAACTTAGCATCGCCGTTAGAAATAATAATCGAAGCCAGCAACGGTGCTTCTAATTATGGAAACAAATTTGGAGAGCCTGTAATATCTGGTTTCGTACGTTCTTATGGAGCGACGGATGATGCAGGGGTTAGGCGAGAATGGATCAAGCCTATAATGTTCAGTGGGGGATTAGGAACTATAGATGCAAATCTAGCTAAGAAGGTAAGACTTATTATTAATTATAACAAAGAGAAACCTGATAGCGGCCACGTCCCTTTGTTCTTTCTGAAGCCGGCGGAAGTCGCATTTTTGGCCTGTCTCTTGAGAAAGTGCAACTCAACGGTTGCGTCTGTTTTGCTCAGTAACGGTACATGGTTCGTGTCCGTGTTCGAATTACTCAGATGGAAGATAGTCGAGATGAGAGTCAAATGAGATGAATAAATGAATTAGATAAGGATGAACAATCATCTTGACTATCTTTCATCTGAGTAGTTCGGACATGAACCATATAGCACGGACACGAACAATGTACCGTTACCGAACGAAACGGACATAGTTGAGTTGCACTTTCTTATAACTTCTGCACACGAAATGCGGTAACTCTTGCCGCGCGATGGAAGTTGGTGCCATAGCCAACCAAATATTCCGCCGCGCAGAAAAAGTTAAACTCGATCAAACTTTGATTAGCTACCGCGTCGCTCCTGCTTAATTGTCACGCGGCAAGCGCTTCCGCGTCCCATGTGCGGGAGCTATTAGGGGACAGCATCAACCGATGGCCGCTCTCAGGTTTCTCTCTGATTATATTATAATTTTTCTATAAGTTGTCTATTTATTTCGAAATTATTATTAAGAAATTTTTATAAGTTGACTTTTTATAAGTCAGTTTTTATGACATTCTTTGCACGGGGAAATATCTGACAGGATATGAGGGCAAGGAAAGGGATACGGGTGATGCAAGCCAAACACGTTTTGATAGATGGAACGACTTTATTTTAGGCCTCTGAATGACTGCCGGTTATTGCAGGTCGAGGCAGCATCTCTCTGCCGATTCACCAATCGCGTTACAATATTCTTGGGCCAAGCGCCAGAGAGCGCATATACGTATCTCAAGCCACTAATCTTCGGCGTAATTCCCGCGGCGCACGCATCTATTGGACGTTGTGCGTTACTGAAATCGGTGACGCGTTTTTTATCTCGCGCTAATTGTAAGTGTATCTGCAGCGAGAGACAGTGTGTCTATACGTAAGCCGACGAGTTGAGAGATACTTAGATTATTGAATTTTAATAACGGTGAATAACGGTGAATAACGGTGAATACGGTAAATACGTGAACCGATCAAGTTTGGAGTAAGTTTAAAATTATATAATATATAATATTTTATATAATATTATATATATAATATTAGAATTATATAATAAAAGGGTTTTTATTTTTTGTCACCGTATTTTACGAGCGGAGATAATGATGCAAAGTCTGAAACGCAAAGAGTCTAGCAAGATAAGAGGGATTTAGCGGCCCCCAAATAGTCAAGTCATTTTAGGTTTTCTGTGCAAAAAAATCAGATCCTACTTTTTTTATCGTTATTAGTATTGTTATGTAATTATTATTAGCAAAATAAATTTTAGTGTAAAGTTAGCTTTACGCGCCTTGTATCTTACCTCAGATGTAGTGCGGAAATGGATACAACGCTCGACGTACACATTCGTCACTTTGTATTTCGCAAACGGTTTATCGTACGTGAAAAATGAATAGAACCATTTTTGTAGAAAATTTCATGATCTTTCTTTTTTTGTAACCACCTTAATTGACCTCCGAGCCATACAAAACAAGATTTTCGCAAAAAACTGATTTTCGTGACCTTTTATCTTGAATAACTTTTTTAGCCCTGCCGATATCGTTCTCTATTTTTAATATGTTATTTAAAACAATGAAATAAAGCGATTAAAAAAAGTAGGATCTAATTTTTTTGCACAGAAGCCATATTTTCGTCTAAAATGACTGGACTAAAACGGGTAACCTCCGTTTAGACACGTAATAATTGGACGCTGCTCGATTGGACACCGCATAATTGGACACCACACGATTAAACACCGCGCGATTGGACACCGCCGACAGTAAATTTGAAGGAAAGTGGTTTTCTCACCAATTTGGTTAAAACTTCAATATTGTGTATTTTGGTGCGTAAAACACGAATGTGGAAGTTAAAATCGCTCTCAAGTAGAGTAAAAGTTATAAAGTGCTAAAAATTTTGTTCTGAGGCAATTTTGAGGTTAGGAAATCTGCCACATACAGTCACGATTAAAAGTTTTGGGCCAGGCAGATTTTTTCCCATATTTTAGGTTTAGGAAAAAAAAACCAAAAAAATGATTAACTTTAACCATACTTAGAGAATAAGTGGTTTTATATTCTTGGAGTGGTGATTGTGGCATAGAAAAATGTGTACTGGTCTAATGAGCTTGAATGGGCCTGAGAGATCTGAGTTCAAATCTGAAAACCAAAAATTGTCGGTTTTTATTCGATCGCTATTTCTTGGAAGGTGATGACAACCCACCGAGAGTATATGTGAACCATGTGAACCTCTCTGTATTTAGAGAAAAAACTGGTTCCCATTGGAAACCTTATATGGGATTTGGCCAGAAAAGTCAGTGGAATGGCAGTTTGGTCATGGCAAAGGTGCCAGACTTGTAACTGCGACGACTCGGGTTCGAGTCCAGCTGACCACATTTTAAATTTCGTTTTTCTTCTACACGTAGCACTTGGGCACTGCTACGTGTGATTTGAAGAGGTGTGCGTACATGTGTATATGTACTACATTTGTTTGAAAATACTAGTATAAAATCCAAATCTCTGCGCCACGATCACCACTTAGAGAATAACATATTTTACTATGAATAAATGTTGTTAAGTGGTACGCAGAAAGGAATTGACACAGCCAGATTATGGTTCATAAAAAGATTTCAGTTTATTATTTGCGAGCTGAGCTTACTTGTTACAGCGAGTATCAAAGAAAAAGTGAAGTAAAAAAAAGGGAAAGTCATCTAGTGGAAGCTCTATCCAGTTAATGCGAATACCGACCGTATAGGGTTCAGAGAGTATAGAGATCGATATCGATAAAGTAGAAATTGCTCTTTTCTAACAGTTGTTAATGATAAAAAATATAATTATTTCTTTATTTAACAAAAAACAAAAAACGTATGATCATAAATATCGGGCCAACTTCAAGTTACTTCAAATCACAGAAATTAATTGAATCACTAGAAAATATTAAAAAAACTGATAGTAATATTTAATATTTGGTACCCTTAGAAATGATGACTGCTGCGTAACGACGTGGCATTGACTCGATTAAGTGGGTGATTGTGTTTCGAGAGAGGGATCTTTTCCTATTCTTTACTTAAAGTCTTGAATAAACCTTATTTATTTAAATGCTTTTTGTTGACTACTCGGCGACCAAATTCATCCCAAAAATGTGTACAAGGTCTTAGTTATTTAAGAGAGAATTTTGAATTACTGAAGTTTCAAATTAGATCCCGGCATATCAATAAAAAAATATACAAGTGCTATGTCCAATATAAATCTAATTCTGTTGGGTACACTGGAATTTTGCGTGTGAATGTGCGAATGGACTTATTAGGACTATTGATTATTGTTTACAAGTTTCTGCGATTATTCTTTTACATGCCTGGTGTTTAGTAAGAATAGTAAGAACAGCAGAAATCTTAACAAAGATTTTTGAAATTGGAAAAATTGACCCAATTATTGACGGGAATAGTGATGAAGATTAAATTATTGTAATTATTGCCACGAATAAATATATGTGATGTATATAAATATTATAAATCTTATAGTTTTTAAAATTTACATAAAATTGTGATTTATAAATAAATAATTCACTTATAAGCCTTTGAAAATTCTTTGTCTTTTACTTACATAATTAAACAAGTAAGAAAACGTAAAAAAATTACGTCTGGGAGTTTAAACAATTTCATGTTTTTCCGCATTTTCCTTCATTTTCTATGTTTTCTCCGCTATAGACATAATTTTTTATGGCCATTTTCGGATTCTACAACTCAAAATACGTAAGAATATGTAAGATTTTTTCGTTCCCCTAACAGTTCCCAAAACACAATTTTACGTACCCTCGCTTAACCCTTAAATGCCCCCTGGGGTCCAACGGACCCCAGACCCTTTACAATGATATATTTTCAAATGTTCTTGCCAAAAATGGAGCTCATGCTCCCATTGATGATAGTTGAGTGATTGACCTATCCGTTTGTACACTTAGCAGTACTCAGTTTACTTAATTTTTTATACTATGTTGAAATTGAAATTTTAACAATATAAGCATTTTATTTTCTTTTCTAAGCCTTGAACAACATTGAAAAAATTTTCATAACTAAAGATAAAAAATCAATGAGTAAGGCATTTTTCATGCTGGGGTCTTTTAGACCTCTCATGTCATTTACGAGATTCTTGAGAGGTGTGGCATTTAAGGGTTAAGATAGTCCTTTCGTGAGAATAAGTATTAGATAGGTACCTAAATTTGATATGTTAAATATACAGTAATAAGGGGCATGTGTGCGAAAAATCAGGTGAGGTTACCGACACTTTACAAGAAATAAAAGTTATTCTAAATGTGCGTTCGCGGAGCGTGCTATTGTCATTCTATCCTTGTTTACATCTAATGAACGAGAAAGATAGAATGATGCAAATCGCTACGGCCGAGGTTTTCAACGAATAATACATGTACTTAGCGATCAGATGAATATATTATTCATGTCTTAAAATATTCCCTGAAGTTTCCGGATTTCGTACGTACCTTGAAAATAAGGGCTTGCCGAATGTTTTGCTTTTTTTTTTGGTGGTTGTTAACTCCGGTTGGAGTTATTGACGCCTTCAGCCCCGCCTTTGGGCTATATAGCGTAGTTTGGTCTTGATCTGTGGTTTTCTTCTACTTTGTATAATCCTTTTTTTTCTCGTTCAATTTTTCTTTTTGGGCTATATAGCGTAATGATTCCTTATGTTTTCTTCTACTTTATAAAATCCTTCTTTACCTCGTACAACGGAAGACACATCTGAGTCAATCAAGAGAGGAAAGACTGGCCAAAGTCCCTCTCTTGATTATATGTATGTCTGTGCGTATGTGTAACTGTGTGTGTATGTCCGCGATGTATTGAACTCGGTATGCCGTGGGTGCGTTGGGCCCAAGGAATTGCGCGGA